CTGGGCATGTTTTATCTTTGGACTAGTACTATGCATCAGTTCCACAAAAATCTAAGCCATTATCTTTGGAATATTTTCTCTGTCCCACTCTCCCCCTTCTCTTGTCTGGTACGTCAATCAAATGAAAGCATCTAGTGGTTTAACCTTGAGGACAGAATCACTTATTTATACCAGAGGATCCGTCCAATGTAGAAAACAAAACCCGTCCGGGCACAGTGGCTCACACCTGTAATCCCAGCACTTGGGGAGGCTGAGGTGGGCAGATCGCAAGGTCGGGAGTTTGAGACCAGGCTGGCCAACATGGTGAAACCCCATCTCTACTAAAAATACAAAATTAGCCAGTTGTGGTGATGCATGTCTGTAATCCCAGCTACTTGGGAGGCTGAGGCAAGAGAAGTGCTTGAACCTGGGAGGCGTAGGTTGCGGTGAGCTGAGATTATGCCATTGCACTCCAGCCTTGGCAGTAAGAGTGAAACTTCATCTCAAAAAGAAAAAAAAAAAAAAAAAGAGAGACAAGATTGCATTTGTAGGTGACTTTTGAGATGCTGAACTAGCACCATCCTCCCATGGCTGTATCTTTACTCACTGTAAGCTTATGGGCAGCTGCTGCTGGAAAGAGGCCTGTGTGTGTTTGGGCAAAGAGTCCCCCAGAAAAAGGCAACATTTCAGGAGCTGGCCAACCATAAGACCGAGCAGTTATCAGTCTGGAAAACAAGGCCCCAAGGGGAGAAATCACTGTATCCCCTACAAAGAAGGTCATCACTTACAACGATTTGTTAAGCAAAACTGATCTCTGTCTCATGAGGAACCAAAGAGGTCTGCTGTGCCAAGGAGCGTACACTTCCTGCCATCTTTAGCTCACTTGGCTTCTGAATCCCTGAACTTCACCATCTCCATAAGAGCCCATGCTTCTGTCATTTTTCAGAGTGGTCTCACCCCCTAAAGACTTAGACTTTGAATTCACCTTTCCACTGCAGCCATAAACATCTTCCCCATGCCCCATTCCTTCTCTCCTAGGGACTTACTCTTTATCCCCAACACAACTTCCAGTTTTGGGGCCTCTTTTTCCTCAGAAAAAGGAGCCCTCTCTTGCTGTCTCTTTGCCACTCGCCAGCCATAATCCCATTACACCCTTTCTCATTATGGGGCACCCTCAATTCTCTTTCCCCTTTGGTTTCTGTCCCTCCAACCTGCCAGTTCATTGCCTGGGCCAACCCAGGTCCGCTCTTTGCTTCTGAGCCGACACTCGTTGCTACAGAAGATCAAGAAAGCTGGCTGATTACCAGTGGTGAAAGATGCTGATTTCAGGCCCAGCTACTGGCAACTGCGGATTTAGCCTTACCACTTGCTCCCACTATTGACCATTCGAACTTTACCCTAATCACCAGTCATCCAATAATTGCCCAATGTTCTCTCTTACATTTCTGGGAAAAGAGGCCACCTGTCTAAACTCTAACCTCTGCTTCAGCCTCAAAATATCTCCATAGCATCATCCCTTCCTTTCTTCCCTTCCTTCGGTCCTAGATGAACGAGTTTCACTATGCCTTTGTAGTGATAACCACCACCTCATCTTCTACTCCTATTCATTTATTCATCATTCATTCCAGCACGATAGGAATTCCTTGTTCTTTCTTGCATGATAGGAGTTCATTGTTTATTCCTGCATGGCAGGAAACAAGGAGGATGCAATTGTGAACAAAACCACCAAAGCCTCCACGCTCAAAGAGCTTACTATCTAGCAGGGCAGAAAATCAGTGATGATTACCAAAATCCTCTTTCTACTCCAGGACTCTGCCCCATCTCAAAGGGATGGTCTCAAAACCATCCCTTTCTCTCTTCTTAATTTTCTTCATTCCTGCCTCCCTCTTAAACACTGTGTTCCTGCCTCAACCATCAGAGTATTCCTGGCCAGCTTGCTCGACTCTCATGAGGCTCCTAAGGCTTCTCTGTTGATGACCGTGAACAACGTTGGTGCTCAGCCCAGATTCCCTGTTGACTAGAGTGGGTACAGCCCAATCTCAGCAGCAAACCCCAGAGGGGTTCCCAGGCTGCTGGTGCTTTTTCCACGGGCAAAGAGAAGTCCCTGAAGCTTCCCTTTAGTGGGTTAGAATTATCCCATTATCATCAGCACGAAAGGACACTTTCAGTTCTTGTCTTCTTTGATCTCTTAGAAGCATTCCACACCCCCCTTTTTTTTTTTTTTGAGACAGAGTTTCACTCTGTTGCCCAGGCTAGAGTGCAGTGGTACAATCTTGGCTCACTGCAAACCACCTCCTGGATTCATGCGATTCTCCTGCCTCAGCATCCCGAGTAGCTGGCATTACAGGTAAGCACCATCACACCAAGCTCATTTTTGTATTTTTAGTAAAGGTGGGATTTCACAATGTTGGCCAGGATGGTCTCGAACTCCTGACCTCAGGTGGTCCACTGGCTTCTGCCTCACAAAGTGCTGGGATTACAAGCATGAGCCACTAAGTTCCACCAGATTCTCTTCTTAAGATCAAGTCCAAACTCCTTAAAATTGCTTGCTTATAAAGTCACTGGCAACCTGCCTCCTATGTTCTCATTTCTTATCACTTGCTCTCCCACATTCTGCCTTCCAGCTATATTTAACTTATTTAATTTTCCTAAGAGATGGTGCATTGTTTGTCTTCTGGCCACAGCCCATGCTGTTCTTCCTGTTTGTTTTTCTCTTCTTATTAAACAATAAGAATGTTCATAATGTTCTCAGATGGCCTCAATTTCCATGTACCTCTCTCTTTGGCTATCCAAACAAAGTCATTGTTCAGGTTGTTTGCTCAGAGTTCATCTCAAAGCTTGGCAAGTGAGTATTTTATATTTTAAATTATCTAAAAATCACAGAGTAATACTTTCACAGATGTGTCT